TACTATATACTAATTAATACTAATACTAATACCATATACTAATTAATACTAATACTAATACTATATACTATATAATACTAATACTAATACTATATACTAATTAATACTAATACTAATACTATATACTAATTAATACTAATACTAATGCTATATACTAATTAATACTAATACTATATACTATGTAATACTAATATTAATAATACTAATACTACTAATACTAGTAATAATACTAATACTACTAATACTAGTAATAATACTAATACTACTAATACTAGTAATACTACTACTACTAATAAAACCGTCTTTTCGATTCAATATTTTAACAGCGACACACATAGGTGCGCGCTCAGGAAAGTAGGCGCCACAGCTAACTGGTTAAGGCTGACAGAATTAAATGCACAGGTTCCCCGAAAACTGACAAGCTCGCTCGAGAAGGTCGGCCGGATCGGCGCCTAGCATTCGATTGGCTCCAAGGCGGATACCATCGAAATATGCAAATTGATCGCGAAAGCCTCGTGTTCGGTGTGCGAAGGGCGTGTTCTCATAGGTTCCGGGACCGATCTGAATTATGCTCGCGTAGCTACCGGGACGACAATAGCAGTGCCGTGCCGGGATTCCGTGTCGACGACTAGAAACTCGTTTTCCACGGGGCGCCGCGCCGCCGTTGCACGACAAAACTTAGCCCGCTGGTCGGCCACGGCCCGGCAACCCTACCGCGCGCCACCATTGTGATCGTATTAACACCTTGCATAATTGCGTCGCCACCGACGCCGCCGCGTTTCTCATTGTGCCGCCGCTAAACACGTCTCATTTGAATATTGGCCCATTCATATCTCTCTGGGAGAGAGCCCGATCGCTGATAAAGGGGATCCTGCGGTCGCTTCCTCTTCATCGCCGCCCCGTTCGTACACTCTTTCTCAGGCTGTCAGCTTCCTTCCAGCATGCACCATTTACGCTGGCCGATCCGCCGGATTTACCTGTCCGCGGTGCCGCGCGCAGCGACTCGAATGCCATAATTAACTCGACGAAATTCGGTTCGAAATACAAGAAATTCTCTCGAATTAATGCACAGATTGCGCACAAACGTGGACGATTTGGGAGGAGGAGATACGATTATTCGAGCCACGCAGCTTGTTTTTATAATTATCAATTGTTAACAACTATGAAAACGAGGCTCCAATGATGAGCGTTAATTAGAGAGAATTTATTGCACCGAGAAACTAATTGCGATCTGGAAGAACCGATGCAGCAGCGAACGAAAGATTGAGACTGAAAAAAATATACAGCATGTACAGTACATATACGGTGTGTCCCAAAATTATGATACTTCCGGGAAATGAGGGGTTCCTGAGGTCATTTGTAGCAACTTTTTCCTTTGCGAAAATGCAATCCGCGGCTTCGTTTACGAGTTATTAACGAAAAACACTGACCAATGAGAGGCGAGCTCGGCTGGCGCGAGGCGGCCGAGTTAACGGGCGAGCGACGCCCAGTTCTGCTCGTTGGCTCGGCCGACTCGCGCCAGCTCAGTTCGCCGCCTATTGGTCACCGTTTTTCGTTAATAACTCGTAAACGAAGCCGCGGATCGCATTTTCGTAAAGGAAAAAGTTGCTTCAAATGATCTCAGGAATCTCTCATTTCTCGATTTTAGGTAACTTTGGGACACCCTGTGTATGTAGAACGATCTGCTTTACAGAATGATCGGAGTAATACAGTGTAAAGAAAATTCGTTAGAGTGGAACGTCATTTATAGTCATCTTTGGTTGTAGCGTCCAACGAAAAATGTCTTTGCATCGTTCATTTGATTTGCGAAACCATTGGTTAAAACTAAATTACAATGTTAGATTTTGCAATCACGAATATCGATTGTCCTAACAATTTTCAAGATGTCTGACAATTTTGTGCATCACTAAGAATCATTGTAGATGTAAAACACTGTACTTAATAATTGTAAGTAATGCAAAAAAATAATTCGACTGAAATTGTCGTCAAACTGCAGTCTGAGTCCTGTAATTGTCTGTTTCCTTTTTCCTAAAATAGTTGTACAAATACATTTTGATCGATTACCATAAACTCGAACAGTCTCCACTAAAGAGTTAAAATCCTCTCTCCATTAAGGGTTGTTTCTGCAACAAACTACCCCGCGCCATAATAAAAATCCTAAAAAAATCAGTTTTACAAGAATTTGTAAAAAAGTCAACGATGTTTCAAACAAAGTACCGGTATCCCAATCAGAATTGAGCAAAATTCATTCGATTGACGAATAACGAATAAGAATCAAATTTGTATTGGTTGTCCATGCGTGACGAATAACTGCATATATTTGAAGAAAGTTTATTCGAACAAGAATCAAATTTTTATTCGTCATTATTTAGATATTTCGTTATTTGTTTTAATGAACATTTACTGAAATATTTTCTCAAATATTCTCTAATTATGTCATGTTAACTAAGCCAACAATTCAAACCAAATGTATTTAGTAAAATTATAATAATACCATTTCGAGTATAATTAGGATTTATCT